CTCCTGGTGTGACTCGTTCGGGCTCCTCGTGGTGTGAGTCGTTCGGGGCCCTCGTCGTGGTGTGAGTCGTTCGGGCTCCTCGTGGTGTGAGTCGTTCGGGCGCCTCGTCCTGGTGTGAGTCGTTCGGGCCCCTCCTTTGGTGTGAGTCGTTCGGGCTCTTCGTGGTGTGAGTCGTTCGGGCCCCTCGTCCTGGTGTGAGTCGTTCGGGCTCCTCGTGGTGTGAGGCGTTCGGGCACCTCGTCCTGGTGCGAGTCGTTCGGGCCCCTCGTAGTAGTAGTAGTAGTAGTAGTAGTAGTAGTAGTAGTAGTAGTAGTAGTAGTAGTAGTAGTAGTAGTAGTAGTAGTAGTAGTAGTAGTAGTAGTAGTAGTAGTAGTAGTAGTAGTAGTAGTAGTAGTAGTAGTAGTAGTAGTAGTAGTAGTAGTAGTAGTAGTAGTAGTAGTAGTAGTAGTAGTAGTAGTAGTAGTAGTAGTAGTAGTAGTAGTAGTAGTAGTAGTAGTAGTAGTAGTAGTAGTAGTAGTAGTAGTAGTAGTAGTAGTAGTAGTAGTAGTAGTAGTAGAAGTAGTAGTAGTAGTAGTAGTAGTAGTAGTAGTAGTAGTAGTAGTAGTAGTAGTAGTAGTAGTAGTAAGTAGTAGTAGTAAGTAGTAGTAGTAGTAGTAGTAGTAGTAGTAGTAGTAGTAGTAGTAGTAGTAGTAGTAGTAGTAGTGTAGTAGTAGTAGTAGTAGGTGTAGTAGTAGTAGTAGTAGTAGTAGTAGTAGTAGTAGTAGTAGTAGTAGTAGTAGTAGTAGTAGTAGTAGTAGTAGTAGTGTAGTAGTAGTCGTAGTAGTAGTCGTAGTAGTAGTAGTAGTAGTAGTAGTAGTAGTAGTAGTAGTAGTAGTAGTAGTAGTAGTAGTAGTAGTAGTAGTAGTAGTAGTAGTAGCAGTCGTATTATTATTATTATTATTAGTAGTAGTAGTAGTAGTAGTAGTAGTAGTAGTAGTAGTAGTAGTAGTCTTTTGGGAGCCTCTTGGAGGCCTTTTGGGGCGTCTTGGGGGCCTCTTGGCGGCCCCAGGAGCGTAGGAGCGGAGGCCTTTTGGGAGCCTCTTGGAGGCCTTTTGGGGCGTCTTGGGGGCCTCTTGGCGGCCCCAGGGGCTTCTAGGAGCGTCTTGGGTGCCTTGGGGGAGCCTCTTCGGGCCTCTTGGGAGCCTCTTGGAGGCCGTTTGGGGCGTCTTGGGGGCCTCTTGGCGGCCCCAGGGGCTTCCAGGAGCGTCTTGGGTGCCTCGGGGGAGCCTCTTGGGGCCTCTTGGGGGCCTCTTGGGGGCATCTTGGGGGCCTCTTGGAGGCCTCTTGGGGCCTCTTGGGGCTCTTTGGGAGGGGTCTGGGAGGTATCTTGGGGCCATCTTTCGGGCGATCGATCACAGATGGGGCGAGCATTTTTGTCAGTACCCCCGTCGGGGCCACGATCCTCGTGAGGGGTGTCGAATTTTAGCCCTCCCAGGGATAGAAAAAGGACCCTCTGACCACCCGCGAAACCCCCTCTCCAGGTCCAGGGGGAGGGGGTAGGGGGAGGGGTAAACCCCTCCCCGAAGGGGAAGAAGGGGGGTTGAGAACAGAGAGAGCTCGCTAAACCACTCACGCCCAAAGGGCTGGTGGGATTGGCAGGCAGGTTCTCACCAACTGTTATCCTTCGTCCAGCAAGTTGCATGACTGGGGCTTCGCCATCAATCCTGCAGGCCACTTTTTCGGTAAGCCCGACTGTTTCGTGCATCGTTTCTAGTTTCCCGCATATGCTTTGAGGACTGAGAACGTGGGGGATGATCTAGTTCGGGAGGTCATTGAAACAGGGCACGTATCACTTCTCGTACGTAAGCCGTGGATGGTTGTTCCAGCTACTGACCATGGAGTGGGGGCGCTCGAAGATCCGATCTGCTTGAGCGGCCAGCCTGGGCAGATCGAGTCGTTGTCTTTTGATGCAGACCGTTTCTGTTGTTGGATGGTTCGTGCCTGTTCTCTACCGCCGCCATCCTGTCCAGAGCTGGGCGGAGGAGAGGCAAAAGTTTCAGAGGATAGAGGGTTGTCGCGAAGAATATGCGAACGCCGTCTCAGGGGCTGCTCGCCGATTGCTTTCCAAGGCGAGCGCCACTCGTTGTTGCGCAGCGTGGTAGGCTTGGCAGGTGACTGCAGCGCTCTCGCAAAAGGGTGCTCTTCTCGGGTCACGTGCATAGGGCGTGAGATCTCCCAAGGGTGACTACTGGCGTTCTTCGAACAGGACATCCAGATTCCGTTCGAGGCACTCAAAGCGAATGCCCCCAGATCATTAGAGAGCCGCGCGGACCCCATGGACACTTTTCTTCTGGGAGGGAACTCTTGTGCCGACCGTGTTGCCAATTCAGCCCGCATTTTGTTTGTATCCCAGTGATGAGGAGACTGTGATCGCCGAGCGAAACAGGCCGGTGGCCATCATCCACGAGGTTTCTGTGCCTTTGCAGGCGCGGCCTTTCGCCTGTGACCTGTGCGGCCCCTGGATCTTGTCCCCAGAGCTCCGCGCCAGGTCAGTACTTCTCGGGGCCACTCCCTCAGGTGGGATGGGCGCTGGTGGCGATGCGTTTGTTGTGCGAGTGATTCTGTGGCCCGCCCAGGGCGCAAGGTGTGTGCGGTGCCCTCGCGCCTCCGAAGCAGGCTTTCTTGAAACGCCCCAGGGCCCGAGATCACCTTGGGCTTGTAGCCCGTTCAAGTAAAACTGACTGTTCAGATTTATTTTGGGAGCGCTGCAGCTCGAGCGCCCAATGGGGCGTGGCGTCCCAGCGATTACGGGTGTATAGGGAAGTTGTTCAGCTTTAGCCGCCAAAGTTCCCTCGGAGAGGTTTCATCCTTGGCTGAAGAACGCCACGATCTGCGAGGAGTGGTGGGGATAAGATGTGAGGGACGCATGTGGTCACAGCCACAGGGGCCTTCGGTGGAGCTCCCTATGGGGCAACGGAGCGCCGTACTGGATGGCGCTGTACGTATGTGTCACAGTCACTGGGGCCTTCGGTGGGGCTCCCTAGACACGCCGTACTGGTTGACACTCGCCACCCAGTGGGGCGTTTCGTGGCCCCATAGGGAGCTCCGCCGAAGGCCCCAGTGCTTGTGACCACATGCGTCCCGCGCTTTTCGTGGCCCCATATGGAGCTCCACCGAATGCCCCAGTGGCTGTGAGACCACATGCGTCCTGCACCACGCAGCACGGCGCTTCGTGGCTCCATGGGGAGCTCTGCATAATGCGCCAGTAGTTGTGACAACATGCGTGCCGCGCCACCCAGTATGGCGTTTCGTGGCCCCATAGTTAGCATTACCGAAGGCCCCAGTGGCTGTGACCACATGCGTCCCGCGCCAATCAGTACGGCGTGTCGTGGCCCCATGGGGAGCCCCACCGAAGGCCCCAAGTGGCTGTGACCACATGCGTCCCGCGCCCCCCAGCACGGCGTTTCGTGGTCCCATACGGAGCTCCACCGAAGGCCCCAAGTGGCTGTGACCACATGCGTCCCGCGCCACCCAGTTCGGTGTTTCGTGGCCTCATAAGGGGGCTCCTCCGAGGGCCCCAAGTGACTGTGACTAAATGCGTCCGCGCTAACCAGTACGGAGCTTCGTGGCCCCACAGGGAGTTCCACCGAAAGCCAAAGTGATTGTGACCACATGCGTCCAGGGACACCCAGTACGGCGTTTCGCACCGAAGGCCCCAGTGGTTGTGACCACATGCGTCCCGCGCCACCCAATACGGCGTTTTGTGTCCCCATAGGGAGCCCCACCGAAGGCCCCAGCGGCTGTGACCACGTGAGTCTCGCGCCACCCAGTACGACGCTTCGTGGTCCCATACGGGGCTCCACCGAAGACCCCAGTGGCTGTGACCACACGTGTCCCGCGCCACCCAGTATGGCGTTTCGTGGCCCCATAGGGAGCTTTAACGAAGGCCCTGGTGGTTGTGATCACATGCGTCCGCGCCACCCAGTACAGCGGTTCGTGGCTCCATAGGGAGCTGCACCGAAGGCCCCAGTGGCTGTGATCACATGCGTCTCCCCCGTCCATTCTGGCACACCCCTTAAGCTTTTTTTGGCCCCATATGGGGCTCCATCGAAGGCCCCAGTGGCGACGTTCGCATGCGTTCCCCCCGCCCGTCGGGATACTCCTCAAGTGCTTCGTAGCCCCATAGGGAGCTCCACCGAAGGCCCCAGTGCCGCCGTTCGCGTGGCGGCCCCGCTCCACGCCCCTCACACGTTTCGTGGCCTCATTTGGAGCGCCACCGAAGGCCACAATGGCTGCGCCCGCATGTGTCCCCGCCCCATTTCGGCACACCCTTTACTGCATCGTGGCCCCAAGAGGAGATCCACCGAAGGCGATACCCACAGCGGCGATACTCACAGCTTCATATGGTTGGGCCCTTCGCCAGGATAAGTTCATGCCTGCCGCGCCGCTTCGCCTTGGCGTGGCCCTCACCCAGAATAATTGTTACTGTTTCGGTTTGAGCGCAATCGCCATACGTGCGGCTGCAACGTACACGTGCCCTGTTTGCCATACGAAGAAAGAGGACGTCGCGGCCCATCAATTTGTATTTCAATCGTGGTCGTTTTGGTATTTTCTGAATCCTTTGCTCACGATAGGGTCGGACACGGGCATCAACTGCCTGAGGTGTCTGACTCGTCCCCCTTCCCGTGATTCGAATGCAAGATTGGTTGGCCACCCCGCGTTCCAGGGTCCCTGCTGGAATGCACCATTCGCGCCAGATGTCAATGGCGTGGGGATCCATTAGTGCCAAGTCTGTCGGACCACTGGCACGGGGGCAACCTTGTCAATGCGGGCACACGTTGTCGCCCTGACAGGATTGGTTCCAGGGTCGGAGGGTGATCGCTGCACTCGCAGCGGGGAGACTCTCGCTTGTTTTGACATGCTCGGTTTTGGGATCACACGGAGCACTTCTGGATGGGAAGGGCCTGGGAGGATAGAAGGGACTTCTCCTCCTGGGGGCGATGTCCCCCCCCGCTGCCCAGGCCCCGACCCGAGGACGCCGGGCAAGTGGCAGGCGATGAACATCGTGAGCGGCGAGGTGGACGTGACCCTGCAGGCCCCAGTTCTCCTTCCATTCCCCTCCTCCATCCTACTTCCTCCTCCTCCTCCCTCCTTTCCCTCCTCCCTCCCACCTCCCCTCCCGCATCTTTCCTTCTATCCCCCTTCCTCCTCCTCCTCCTCCTCCTCCTCCTCGTCCTCCTCCTCCTCTTCCTCTTCCTCGTCTACAATAATAGTCGGCGTTTCGGAGCGAGCGATTGAGAGAACGACTTGCCCGAAGTGCGCCAAGCGCGCACCATGCCGCATTCAAGGCGTGGGTACCCCCCCAGGACAGGGAAGGGGAGGGGAGATGGTCTCGCCTCTCTTGCGCGCGCTGCCACTGCTGATGATAATCCTTTACTACAATCCCTATACAGCAAGTGCTTACGAGAGACTGGAGGACATCAGCAGCGAACTGAGACACTGGGACATTCTACTACTCAGTGGAACACACACATGGGCAGCAATACTTGAAAACAATGAAACCGTTAACACGATCTTTCGCTGGGGGGGGTACAACATGGAGGAGCAATACTCACATTCATATCAAAAGTGTGCTACCAGGATATTGATCAACAACATAAATCCTAAGACGGCCCTCGGAAGAATATGCACACCACCAGCCAACGCACAAGGTAGGGTGTCTGGAGTCAGACTGTGCTGGGAAGTAGGAGACTTGACCCTCTTTGTTTTGCACTGTGCTCACACATACTACGCTAGGTGCGAGGGCATCGCTAACATAATGGTAGGTTGGGTGGAAGAACAATGCGACACATCGGGAGTGAGGCGTACACCGATACTAGGAGGAGGCCTCAATGCACAGTTCGGTTTCCATAGGAACCCAGAAGGCACGCTGGTAGATAGCATCAACGACAGTGCCACGGTGGGCCCCCCGCGAAGTTCTGTGCGCAGAGCGGATTATCGATTGCGACGACTCACTGGGGCTGCGGACCGACGTACCACAGCCTTGCAGGATATCCAAGCAATATTGACCACGTAGCCATCCCCACCACGGCTCTGGGAATAGTGGAAAGATGCACGACGCTGACGAGCCAGGGAGTAAGACTTCAGCCCATACAAATAGAGGCCGAAAGGACCACCTACCAGTAGGCACAGTTCTGCCCGAAGTGGTCCCCACCAAGTTCTGACACCCCCCCTGTCCGTCCCGAAGGGCCCGGCAGAGAGGCTCTTTTCAGGTGTCTCAGGGAAGGCGACAGGCTGGGCTTTCTCGCCCCGTCGAACCTTGTGATGCTGGTGCCTGCTTGCGGGCATCCCCTCTGTGATGAAGTTCGTGCCAAATCCCAGCGCTTTAGACGACCCTTCTTCTTATAGTGGAGGCGCAGGCCCTCCTCCCGACCCTCCGCCACCAGCTGCGGCGATGAGGTGGTCGAGCTGTGTTTCGTGAGTCCTGGCCCGGCGCGCCCCCCTTTGGCCGCGCGGCGAGGGGGGGGGAGAAGGAACAAGAGGAGGAGGAGGAAGAGGAGGAGGAAACCAGTGTAAACCCAAGAGTCATCAACGATGTTTGAATAACCCCCCCTCCAAGCTCCCTCATCATAGGCCCCCACAATAAGACGTTTCCATTGAGGGAACTACTGCCTCGTTGGAAGACAACCGTTTGAGGACCCCGAAGCATGCCAAAACATTGTTCTCGGGATTCCAACGCCGCGGATCAACCTGACTGTTGCGTTTTGACGATCCTGGATCGTGCCAGAACGCCATTTTCGGGATTTCAGCACCGCGAATCAACGTAATATTGCGCCAGCAAATCTTGAACCCTTCCTTGGTATTTTGATAAAGGGAATCCGTGAAACTCTTGTACATTCGATGAACGAATGTGCGCGGCGCTAATGCGGGAACCACATGTTGAAAAGGAGCCGGAAACGAATGTGCGTTGCACTGAGGCGAGAGCCACATTTTGAAACCGGGTCGCCCTCAATCCACATACTTCCTGCCAATTTTTAAGCGAATGTGCGCGGCGCTGAGGCGAGATCAACATTTTGAAAGCTGGTCGCCCTCAATTCGTGAAACTTTTTCGAATTTTAAAATGAAAGTGCGCGGCGCTAAGGCGAGAGCCACATTTTGAAAAGGAACCGCTGTCAATCCATGAAGCTATAGCACATTTTGAAAACGATAGTGCGCGGCGCTAAGGTGAGTGCCACATTTTGAAAACCACCCGCATTCCACCTGTGAAGCTGTTGCCAATTTGCAAGCGTATGGGCCACAATTTGTGATAAGGTCTCAGGCGAAACGCGTGGCCCGCTCTAAAAACTGGTCTCGGGGTGTGAAGGGGAAAAGTTACTCATTAGGGAAAGTAATGGAGGAACGAGGAACGAGGAGCGAGGAGCGACGAGCGAGGAGCGACGAGCGAGGAGGAGCCCGCGAGCGCTCCCGACCCGCGGTTCGCAGAGGGCGGGTTCGAATACGGCACGGCGCTGGGCTCCTTCATGGGCGCGGACGGGCAGGCCGCCGGCCGGCCCGCTGCCCAGGCGGGTCCTGGCAGGGAAAGCCTCGAGGCGAGGATGCCCTCGGGCACCTCAGGGAGGATGACATCGAGGGAGGGATCCATCAAGCAGAGGATAGATTTCCAGAGCGGCCCGGAACGCTTTCACGACGCTTTGGCACGCACTTTCTGGAACGGCCGCAGCGCCCGATACATCTTCCAGACGCGCCAGTTTTCAGAGATTCCCGATTTATCTCCATCCGAATTTATCCTCATCTTGCCTTCGTCTTGACCGAGGATCGTGGATCGGGGGAAGATCGGGACAGGCCAGCAGCTCGGTGGCCGACGGTCGAGCTTGGATCGAGGATCGAGATAGGATTGATGGCATCATCCATCATGGGCGTGGTCGGGCAGGCCAGCAGTTCGAGGATCGAGGGAAGATCGATGGTTCAGGGTTTTTGACGCTTTGGGCTTTAGCGCTCTTTTGGGCCTCTGGGGGCGATCGTCGCCACGGCGAGATCGGTTTCGAAATTCTAGCCAGAACGCACCCCAGGAGTGGTTCAGGTGTGCCGATTTTGAGGGGGATGACCCATACCTCTGGCGCCACGAAATCGTGACGGCCAGTTTCTTCAAATCTGCAGCCTTTGGGGGCCCATCTCGGGCTATAGGGCAGTCAAGGATTGATCTTGGACGAGCATGCAGTTCCGAAGAGAGGGTCGGTGGCTCAGAGGCCTACGTTACGGAAAATCGTGACGCTGGACGGAAAGATCAGTGGACAAACATCACGACGGGCGTTGCTTCGTGATTTCGGCTTCCGTGGGCCGCTCTCGAGCTCGGGGCTTGCGATAGAGACGGCCCGCGACGAGAAAAGCAAATTCTGGGGATGTGGTCGAGAGCTCCCGGTCGCACTGTTTGGGGTGTTTTGTATGCCTTCGTTCAGGCTGGGATTGCGTATGACCGTGCCTGGGGCTCAGGATGGGCCTGGCCAGGGCTGGTGGCAGTGGTCTAGAGCTGCCAGTCTCTTGTGGTCGGGCTATCCCAGTCGCGACCAGATCGTTGCCCAGGGCAAAGGTCTCGCTCTCAAGCATACACGGGTGCTTCCGTGTCCACTCCTTCGTCTTTCTTCCTGATTCTGATTCATCTTCCTGCTCTTCGTCCTCTTCCCCACTTCTAGCACATTTTCGAATCGCGTAGTGCTCCATAGGTGTTTGGTGGATCTATCCTCCCGCCCTCCTCCACCCTCCTCCCCTTCGTCCCTCCTCTCTCATTCCTCCGCCTCCTCGTCACCAGTCCCTTCCCCTTTACGCGGCGATCCCTGTCCACCGTGGCGCCGTGCCGCTCGGCGCGCGCGCTGCCCTCTGCCGCGATGGTACCGCTCGCACGCCGGCGATGGTAACTCACCCGGGAGAGGAATGGTGGTGTGGGGTGGGGGCACAATGCATGTGATCCCCAGCACACCGCAGTCAAGCAGGAGGTCGAGGACATGGCTATAGAGAAGAGATGGCCTCCCCCTCTGCCCCCTCCCTCTCGGGAATCCCCCGGGAGCTCCGAGCACCGCCCAGAGCTGCCCAGAGCCTCCGAGGCCCTCCGCCCGCGCCGCGGCCCGCCGCTCTGTGGGGGCGGCGGGCTGGCCCGCGCGGCGCGACCAGCGGCGCCCCTCGAGGTGGCCTCGCCTTCGGCGCCTCGGTCGGGCCTCCCGCCGCCCCTGCGCGCGCGCACCGAGGCCGCTGGCCGAGGCCCCTGCGGAGCCTGAGCAGCCGCAGAACAGGACGGCTCCCGCCGCTGCCTCGCGTTGCAGTGCGCCTCTTCTGTTCTCCCGGGGTGTGTGTGGGCTCTCTCCAGTCCGAGGCCAGGACTGGCCATCAGATCCGGGCGTCGCACGAGATCGCGGCGAGCGTTTCTTTTTTCGTATGTTTCGGTCTCCGGTCGCTGTTTCCCGTCACCAGGACAGTCAGAACACGACTCAGGATGAAAGGCCAGCTCTGGGGAATTGGGGGCCGACTGCACGAACAAATGTTTGCCAGCGTGGACCCCGAACAGTGTGTTCCAACCTACCTTGCGAGGTGCATGTGCATTGTAATGCAGCCCACGCAGTGCAATCAATGCAGTGCAATCCATGCAGAGCAATCCATGCAGAGCCAGTCAATGCGGGGCCAATGCAACCTGTGTGGTACAATTTTAAGTCGCACCACGCTGGTTGCACCATGCTTTTCTATGCTATGCGATGCCTTTCTGTGCTATGCTATGCTATGTTGCGCTATGCTATGCTATCCTATCCTAAGTCGAGCTGTGCTATGCTATGCCATGCGATGCTAGGCTACGGTAAGCTGTGCTATGCTGTGCTATGCTATGCTATGCGAGTGGACGAGGGCGAGTGGACGAGGGCGAGTGGATGAGTGCAAGTGGCGGCGCCGGACGGCGGCGATGGGCGTCGACGAGCCGGCTAAACCTACACTGGGGCCCAGTGCAAGTGGCGGCGACGGACGGCGGCGACGGGCGGCGACGAGCCCGCCGGACTGGCCTTGGGGCTCAGTTACCTTAGAACACAAGCGAGAACCCCCAAGTGCAAGAATTGTTTGGGGCAACATGCAACGTGGGAGCAGAGGGGATGCAACCGATGCAACCTGTTTGGGAGCCGATCTCTCCCGGGGCCTCGCGAGGCAGCGGATGTCGGAGCTCAAGGGACGGGGGTCAATGCAGACGGGGGTCAGCCAGAGCGTCAGAGCTTGCAGGATCCAGCAGGGCCAGGGTCGCACTGACCCGGGTTTGGGTGCAGATCCTGCAGGATGCTGCAGGATCTTGCAGGGCCAGGGTCGCATTGACCAGGATTTGGGTGCAGGATCTTGCAGGATCCTGCAAGTAGATCCATGAGGATGTGGATGTCAAAGAATGTCGGGGCCCCATGGCCCCTACATATTTCCATGCGCAACCTTCTGGGGTCCTGGAGTTTTTAATTCGTCTCGTCAACGGGGCGATAGCGCCTGTGATGGTCTCTGGCGCCCCCCCCGCCTAGGGCTGCAGTGGTGTTCAGAGGCATGTTGTGGCGTTCCCAGGCTCGCGTGGTGCTCACAAACATACAGTCGGCGCACTGGCGTACTGTAGCGTTCGCGCATGTAAGGCGCTCCTCCTCGCCATCCGTCGTCGTCGTCGTCGTCGTCGTCGTCGCGTCGTCGCGTCGTAGCGTCGTAGCGTCGTAGCGTCGTAGCGTCGTTGTCGTTGTCGTCGTCGTCGTCGGCGTCGGCGTCGGCGTCGGCGTCGGCACTGTCGTCGTCGGCGGCGGCGCGTCACCGTCGTCGTCGGCGTCGGCGTCGTCGTTGTCGTCGTCGTCGGCGTCGTCGTCGTAGCGTCGTAGCGTCGTAGCGTCGTTGTCGTTGTCGTCGTCGTCGGCGTCGGCGTCGGCGTTGGCGTCGGCGTCGGCGCTGTCGTCGTCGTCGTTGTCGGCGTCATCGTAGTTGTCGTCGTCGGGTGCCCGTCTGCTCCCCCCGCTTTCCGCCAGGTGCTGGGCACAGCCTCTGTGCAGACTCGGTGCAATGTGGATACTGGAAGGGATGAAGAGTAGTAGTAGTAGTAGTAGTAGTAGGGAGGAGGAGGAGGAGGAGGAGGAGGAGGAGGAGGAGGAGTAGTTACGATGAGCCCAGAACGGGAGGAGGAGGATGATTTGGTAGGAGGATTGAGTAGGATGAGGAAGGAGTCAGTATGGAAGGAGGAGGAGGAAAGGAGGATATGTAGTCGTATTAGTAGTAGTATATTAGTAGTATAGTAAAGTAAGTAGGCGTAGTCGTAGTCGTAGTCGTATAGTAGTAGTAGTAGTCTTAATTATAGTAGTAGTATTAGTAGTAGTAGTCGTAGTCGTAGTCGTAGTCGTAGTGGTAGTGGTAGTCGTAGTCGTAGTCGTAGTCGTAAGCGCAGCCGTATTCGTAGTAGTAGTAGTAGTAGTAGTAGTAGTAGTAGTAGTAGTAGTAGTAGTAGTAGTGGTAGTAGTAGTAGTAGTAGTAGTAGTAGTAGTAGTAGCAAGTAGTAAGTAGCAAGTAGTAAGTAGTAAGTAGTAAGTAGTAAGTAATAGTAGTAGTGTAGTAGTAGTAGTAGTAGTAGTAGTAGTAGTAGTAGTAGTAGTAGTAGTAGTAGTAGTAGTAGTAGTAGTAGTAGTAGTAGTACCGCCTCGCTTCACGGCAGGTGGGGGGTTGGCCGAGCCGACCCAACCCCCGACCTGAAGGACCGTCCTGTCCAGCTCTGGGCGCCAGGGCACTCTAGAGCAGAGCCGCACGGGCCCCGAACCCTTGTCGGAGCCCCGCGGAGGCCAAAGGGCCCCCGACCCTCAGAGTTGGGGCCACTCCGAGCCTGCAGGGCCTGTGCACAGTACGAGCCTTGCATGACCAGACAAGGAGAGGGGCGCCTCCAACCCTCTTAGTCGGAGGGCTCCCCTTCGATCACGTCGGGGTCTCCCTCGGACCTCCGAGCAGCACGCTGCCTGGCCGACCAGGAGAGGAAGTCGGCCTCCTGCTCTGGCCCGACGCCAAAACGCTGCAGCGCTCGCGAACGGGGCAAACGTGGCGCTGGGCCCAGCGGCCCGCTGCCCGTAGCCCTGCTGGCCTCGGGGGCGGCGGTGGGCCAGAGCCTCTGGCCGAATTTCACTTGCCAGGCCTCGGAGGGAAAGCGCTGCTCCCCGAGGCGCAATGCACCACGGCCGCCCTTCACACTAGGGAAGAGCCCTCTGCGAATCCTATCCGTCTGTGGCTCACGTCCTGCCCCCGAGCCGCATGGCCTCAGGATGCCCATCATGCGCTGGTGGGCATAGGCGTAGCACTTCACGCAGTGGACCATGGTGGAGCCGTGCGTGCCAGGCCCCGTGATGGCCCTCTCGACGATGGCGTGGCCTCCGATCGACCAAGGCGTACGTGGTCGTCGGGCCGCAGGGGGCTCGTCGCCCTCCGCCGAGTCTCGCGCCGCTGCGAGGGCCACTACCGCTGCTCCTGCAGCCACCCAGGAGGCCTCGGCAGCGTGGCCACTACTGGCCTCGGGCTCCTCGTAGCTCTCCTCGTG